CAAATTATGGTAAAATAATGGGACTTTAGTGAAACATGTAAGTAATAAAACCGGTAAACCGGAAAAAAAAAGGGTCAAATCGTCATTTTTACCGGTAATTCATGCTTTTTCGTAAACAAATTTTAGTTAATTTGGAACTTTTTCGTAAATTAGGGTAAAATTTTAGGACTTTTCTGGAGATTTCCCTATATTTTATATAAATTTTGTGTTAAAATATAAATAAGTGTATGCATGAAAATAATAAACTGTGTATTAGGCAATTAATATGTTTATTAAACTATCAATATGGTATTCTAAACTGTGAATATGTCTCATAACGATATATTTTTTTTAAACAAATCTACCATTTAGAAAAGAGAAATTTGAAGTTGTCAAAGTATAATTCTATTTTTTTATTAAATTTTATATATTTGGCTGCAAAATGAAATGATATGCGTTAAAAAGTGTTCTTAAAGAAATGATACTACAACGTTTGTTCTATTAAGCTGTGAATACGGCCAGAAATGTCACTGAATTTGGTGTTAGTCCAATGACGGTCCGACGGTGGTCCGACGGCGGTCCAACGACAAGTGACAACTACTTGGAAACTAATGAAAAAAATATGCTTAATATAATATTAATGTCGGATTTGTTAAAATCACCTTTAACGAAAAAAAATTAAAAAGTGGTTCTTATAGTTCTTAACATTTTTTGGTTTTCATTTGAACCACTCCCTATATCGCTATATATATATATATATATATATATATATATATATATATATATATATATATATATATATATATATATATATGTGTGTGTGTGTGTGTGTTTGTGTGTGTGTGTGTGTTAGGTTCATGTCAGACCATCATATTTTATGAGACATGAGTATACAATCCTAACCATTTATTTAGGATATAAAAAAATATTTTTAAAATGCAAAATAATGAAATTTTTTGAAAAAATTTTTAAATATTATTTTCGTCATTTATTTTATCCAAAAAATAAATAAATAAATAAAATTGCCGTTTTTTTAAAAAATATATGTGAAATATTCTAATAGAATATTATAGTGTAAATATTCAAATCGAATTTTTAGAATGTTAGAATATTCTACTAGAATATTAAACTATAAATATTCAAAAAATTCTAATAGAATATTAAATATTCTAACAAATTTAACAATTCTAGTAGAATATTAGAATATTTTAAATATTAGAATATTCTAACATTCTAAAAATTTGATTTGATTATTTACAGTCTAATATTCTATCAGAATATCTCACTTATATTTCGAAAAAAAAAACGATAATTTTATTTATTTATTTTTGTGGATAAATTAAATAACGAAAATAATATTCAAAAAAACAATTCGGATTTTTCCTTTTATTTTGCATTTTATAATTTTATTTTTATTTTTTTGATCTCCAAAATGAGTGGTTATGACCGCAACCCCATGTCTTACAAAATTAGCATGATCTCAAATGAACATCTATATATATATATATATATATATATATATATATATATATATATATATATATAAAATCTTCTTTTATCCTTCAAGATTATGATATGTAAACATTTTATGGTTGAATTTTAATTGATAATTTGTGTTTAATTGGATCCAACTTTTGGGGCTAAAATTTTTAAAAATTGTTTCTGCTACAAATATGTTTTTTTAGTTTTTTTAGATTATTACAAACCCCAAAAAGAATATATACATGTTTGGTTGGAAGACATTTGAATAGAAAAATAAATCTTGGTACAACCATTTCTATACAAATATATGTTTGTAAAAACTTTAATTCTTCAATCTAGCTATCAATGAAATAGTAATGTTTAACAAGGAAAATTAAAACCAGAACAATTATGTAAAATGTAAGGAAGAAGGGGTATGAACTCGCCATAATGTCTAGATAGCACATTGGGAATTATTGGTACGGTATCTCCCATTGTAAGGGAGTGCTCAAATGATCCCTAAGGATGCATACTTTTAGGAAGAAGGGATATGAACTCCCCACAATGTCATTGTGAATTGATTATGGGCATGTTCGGCGCAAAGCGTTTGGAAGCATTTAAGAGCTTCTAGCTTCTAACGTTTGACAAAACGCTCCATTTTGAACAGAAAGCCTTTTTGTCACTATAAGCTTCTAGTGTTTAGTTTAAACAAAACGCTCCAAATCCAAATGTTACTTCTAGAAACTACCTGCTACCAGCTAATTTTTCCGAACACACCCTAGATCTTTACATAAGATAAGGAATTAGTATGTTGAGTAGAAAATGTATGAACTCCCGATCAATAAAAATCAGATTTTTCCGTAGATGGGGTATGCACCATGAAACCTTGTGTGTTATTGGATCATGTATTGCATAATACTTTCTATTACATGAAAGAATGGATATAAAAGTTGGATTTTAAAAGAATGTTTTTAGAGAGAATGCTTTTGTCTGAAGTCTTTAAATGTAAATGTTTTTGTTAAAACCTATATATCTCATGAGATTTTATGTCTTATATGTTATCATTTATTTTTACATGACATGTATTCAAGGTACCGATGAGAAATGAGCGTTATTATAACTGGTTAGACTTGACTTTTAGGACTATTACAAGATGAACACTTTTTGGTCTTTCAAAGTGGATATAAACTTTTAGTTATCCGTTTGTAGGTACACCGTTGTGGCCATATGATTTTGAAATAAAAATGAAAATTTTAGATGTATGATTCTAACAGTTCCAAATCCATTTTTAATGATTTAAAGGAATTCAAATAGGTCCAAAACTTACCTTAAACATTGAATAACGTTATGATTATCATCATTAACCTAATTTATATATCCATTAAATAGATCACCCATATCTAAATTAAGCTTTAAAACTCAAAAAATGACTTCTCTCTCATGAACGAACTCAAATGAATGAATGAACTCGAATGAACGAACTCGAACGAACGAACAAACGAACGAATGGATGAATGAATCAATGAAAAACATAGAAACGAAAGAGGAAGATGGGTTTGAGTGTTAAAGACTTCAAAACTTTCATCAATTGGCAAGAAATAGTCGCTCAAGTCTTATTTTTACTAACGAAACCCAAGTTGAGATTTTTGTAAAATTTCAAGTCCTTTAGTTCCTAGTTTGACCTAAATCAGTTTACATTCTTATATTGAGGTACACGCTAGTTATAAAAGGTTAAGTGAAAACTTAATACCTCAACTTCAAATGTTGAAAGGTCGACCCTTACCTTCAAATCTCTTAAATTACAATTCTAATCTATCAATAAACAATTTCTTTTCAATTAATTAAAATTAATTAATTTAACAAAATTTAAATTTATTTGCTAAAATTTTAAATTTTCACTTAAATGTTGAAACTTGTAGCCCTAAATTAAGGTGTTACAACTTGAGGTCCGGTGTGGGGCAGATGGGTTGTTTGTTTCTTGGGTTGTCGTACATGAATTTCCTAATAAAATCAGCCATTGTTAGGAATCAAATTAATTAACAACAAAACGAAACTATTTGGACAAATTTACAACAAAATACCTGCAAAAGATACTTATAAATTTTTAATTCACTACAAGATTTGTTACAGAAAAATAAAACTATTTATAGGACGACACCTAGCTATTGAAATGAATCATGAATGGGATATTTGAAAAAAAAATGAAGAATCAAGTGTGGGAAACAGCAGAAGAATCCACTACCCTAACCAAACTTATATTTGGATTGGTGCATTCTGTATGGACCACATTGTGGTTAATTGGGTTTGGCCACTTAGAAGAGCTTTTGGAGACCCTACAAAATGCCTATAAATACCATGCATTGCCATGCAAATGTCAAACAACCAACACTTGTGTGGGATTTGATCACTTTCATCATCTCCGATCCAATGGCTATTCACAAAGCTTCAAGTGTGGTTTTCTTGGTGTTTTTAGGCTTGAGCATTTGTGCGGCGGCTAGAGTTCTCTTAACAGTCGAAGAAAGCTACAGTCATGGTGGTTATGAAGGTGGCAGTTTATCTGGAGGTGGTGGTGGTGGAGGTGGTAGTGGTGGTGGAGGAGGAGGAGGAGCTGCTTATGGAGGAGGTGGTTATGGGGGAGCTGGAGCTGGATCGGGAAGTGGGGCTGGTGAAGGTGGTGGATCAGGGTATGGTGGTGGAGCTGAAGGAGGGGGAGGCGGTGGTAGTGGAGGAGGTGGTGGAGCTGGAGGAGGAGGAGCTGCAGGAGGACATGGTGGGGGTTACGGTGGAGGAGAAGGAGCCGGGAGTGGCGGTGGATACGGTGGGGCTGGAGGAGCAGGTGGCGGAGGTGGAGGTGGACATGGTGGTGGTGGTGGTGGAGGAGGAGGAGCCGGTGCAGGAGGAGCTGCAGCCGGTGGGGGATATGGCAGTGGAGGTGGAGCTGGAGCAGGAGGAGGTGCCGGAGGATCACATGGTGCCGGAGGTGCCGGAGGAGGTGGCGGTTCTGGAGGTGGAGGTGGTGGTGGTGGTGGAGCTGCCGCTGGGCATGAAGGTGGTGCAAGCGGTGGGGGATATGGCAGTGGAGGTGGAGCTGGAGCAGGAGGAGGTGCCGGAGGATCACATGGTGCTGGAGGTGCCGGAGGAGGTGGCGGTTCTGGAGGTGGAGGTGGTGGTGGAGCTGCCGCTGGACATGAAGGTGGATATGGAGCTGGTAGTGGTAGCGGCGGTGGTGAAGGCGGTGGTCATGGTGGCTATATCCCTTGATCATAAAATCAACTCTTTGTTCCATTTATTGTCTTAAAATGAGCATATAAATTACTCATTTTTCCCATTATAAAAATCGCCAATAAGATTCAACGAGACCTCGACCCATACAAATGAGATGCATCCAATCAATTTGTATTCTTACTATTATTTATATGTGAAATCAAAGTTCATTATGCTTTTTTTATTTGCATTTTGCATTTAGTATTCTATTTTCTTACAACATATGTCGGATATCATCTATCGATTTTTGTCAGGAAACATAACTTTAAAACAAAAACAATGAAACGAAACATACTTTAAGTAATCAAGATTCTATCAACCAAATCTATTGCACTTTGATACCCAATCTTACTAAACAAACACCTAACCAAAACACTCCATATTCCCTTATCCGGATGAACCCCATCTTCCACCATTTTCATCACCCATTCCTGAGCTTCAACCACACCATTTGACTCACACATCCCATAAACAAGACTCGTGTATGTTACCAAATCGGCTTGCAAACCATGTTTCTTCATGGCTTCCAAGAGTTGACTCACAAGGTCAACCCTACGATTCTTACAACACCCATTGATCATTATGTTGAAGGTGATTTTATCTGGTTTCACCCCTTTCACCACCATCTTTGCCATAACCTTCAAACCATCATCAACCCTATCATTACAACAAAGCATGTTGATAATCGTGTTATACGTGACCAAATTAACCCCAACCCCTCTTTCTTCCATCTCAACCAAAAGGTCAAACATGGCTCTAAAGTCGTTGACTTTTGAAAACCCCATTAATAGCTCATTGAATGTTGTCAAATCAGCCATGCTCCCCATTTTAAACAACAAATTCATAGCTAAATCCACTTTTCCATTGGCGCATAGACCTTTGATGAATGCATTGAAGGTGGCTGCATTTGGTGCACAATTCATGTTGTTGATGAGGTTATAAGCTTCTTCAAACATGAAATTACGAGAAAGGACATCCACCATTGATGTGTACACCACAACATTCGGGTGGCAGCCTTGTGTTATCATCTTGTTCCATGTCTCTGATGCACCTACAAAGTCCCTACATTTTGCATACCCGTTGATCAAAGTTCCATATGTTGTTACATTTGGAAGGAATGATAGTTTTTCCATTTCAAGATAACAAGAAACAGCTTTCTGCATATTTCCAATAGAACAGAACCCGTGTATGAGAGTGTTGTAGGTGACAACATTTGGTGAAATACCCTCTTGGATCATTTTGTTATAAACTTCATACGCATCTTCCATTTTCCCTTTCATGCAAAAACCCTTTATCAAACAAGTGAAAGTGAAGACATTTGGGTTGCATTGTCTCAAGAACATCTTGGCCATTATCGCAAGTGAAAGCTTAACTTCACCAAGATCTGAAAGGGTGTTTATAATTGTTGTGAAGGTGATTTCGTTTGGGAAAACCCCATGAATTACCATGTCTTCTATTAACTGAAACGCCTGGTTTAAATCACCTTCTTTGCAGAATCCCTTCATTAAAGCATTATATACAGAAACCATAGGAAAATCTCCTATAATGGTTTGGACAAGCTCCTTTGCTTCTTTTACCTTACCAAGATGACACATTGAAGAAACAATGGTGGTGTAACTCACTTCATCTGGAGAACATCCTTTCTTTGACATTTCTACGAGCACCTTGTGTGCACCATCAATCCGATTGTTCTTGCATAATGCTTTCAATAAGATGTTGTATGTATACTTATCTGGTTCCATCCCATCTCTCTTCATGTTACTATAAATAGGATTAATCATATGAAACTTATTCTCGTTCAACAAAGCATCCAATAGATGGTTATAGATCTTAACAGTAGGCTTACACCCAAATTCTTGAATTCTGTAAAATGTTTTCAGCGCTTGATCAGCTGCTCCTGCTCTTCGGTAAGAACTGATTACACTAATGAATAAATCTTCTGAGCAACTGATCCCTTCCAGTTTCATCTGCTGCAGAAGGTATTGAACTCCATCTACACCGCATTCATCCCCTAGCTTTTCAATAATTGTTTGGTATGTGAGACTTGTATGTCTGAAAGTTTTTGAATTGGATAGGAATTTAAAATATTCAAGAGCCAAAGTAATGTCTTTTTCATGGTTCAATCTCTTCAAGACATCAGCTTCTCTCAATTCTGTCTTTGGGTTTTGTTGAATTTGTGGATTAAGACTGGCGTTAGTGTTGAAAACAAAAGGGATTGAAGGTTTCCTGACCTTTAGCAGCAAAGAACATTTCTCTTTCAAATGCATATTGTCCTAAACTGAAATTAAAAATGCCATTGCATAGTAACAAACCCCCAAATTCCACTACTCAAGCGTATATCAAAACTAGAAGAAACCCCAATAAAAAAACCAAGCTTTCAAAGTGATCAGAATTAATGGAATCGGAAAATTTAACAGCTTGGTGAAATAATCACACCAGGAAATTAAAAAAAGAAACCCCTAAGGAGATGGATAACAAATAAATCGAATTGAACAGATGATAAAAATCTTAAGGATATCTGTTTGAGAATGATGGAATCCTAAAATAAACAAAAGGGAATGAAACCCAGATGAGATGATGATTAAATTGAGCAGAATACCAATGGATGTGTAGGGTTTATGCTGTGTGCCTACCTTCCTGCATCAGCTTCTCCGGGACACGGGAAACTTTGCTCGTTATCAAGGAGTAAATTACAGAAATGGTCCCTGTAACTGTCGTAACTTTGCATTTTCTGTCCAACTTTTTAATATTTACGTATACGATTCTTAATTTTGCACTTTGTTGCGATATCTCTATGATTAGTCAATTTACTAAAATACTCTTCTTTTTTTAACAGCTTTCTGTCCAACTTTTAACATAATGGGATTTTGCAACGATAAAACAAAACCAAATTTTAGTTTATGATTCCTATTTAAAAATCATACTATTTCTAAACTTCTAAATGGTCCACACAAAGGATAAAATTATGACATCCAAAGTCATCCTTTTAGTAGGGATGGACGCAAGATTTTGTATTAGGTGTTACCGGTGAAATATTTGTTTTATGTAGTGACACAATAGTAAAAAACAGAAAAATATTTTTACACTATGTCGGAAAAAAAACAGGGGTTGTTGGTGTCATTATGGGCACCATAGTGGAACCGCCCCAGCCTTTTAGTCAAGATAAGTTGTATCGTGTCTATGCAGTCTAACGCTACTTCCATTGAGCTAAAACCCAATAAATCCAACACACAAAGTAGAAATAAAGCTCCAAATATCTGCAGCTACCACACACATAATGAAGGGGTGTGCTACCTCTTTCGGATCCAACGAGCAAATCAGATACAGAGTGGCAAGAACGTCAACCTCTTTGTTGACAAGATTTCTCTAATTCGTCAGCTTATTCAATCGTAATCTTCAGCCAAAAATGTTAACCTATTCCATAGGGTAGAAAAAATCGATATAGACAACAACTCATCATCAATATGCTTTCTAGCCACACTAATCGTGAGCATGTTCTAGCCATCAAGCATACATCTCCACCGATCCCAATCACCAAAGGTTAAAAAGACCTAATTAGAATAATCATTTCTTCCATATTCACTTCCTAAGAACCATCGTAATCTCGTGTTTCCATTTCCAAACTCAAGTGTTTCTAATGTACTGAACCTTTATGACACAATCTTTATCCCTTACCAAAAGAAAAAGTCTTGAAAATCTAAACGTCAATGGAACCTTCCCAACATAATCGTCATTCCAGAATAAGGTTTTAGTAATTTATATTATTATAATGATTAATACAATATTTAGAAATTTTGTTAGGTGGTTATTATATGTTTGATATGTTACAAAAGGCTATTCATTATCATTTAATTAGTTCCATATATTAGAGTTTAATAGGAGCTCTAATATTTGTGTATAAATAATTGATGGTCCCCAACATACAAGGAGACACATGTAACGACCCTAAAATTTCAAACTACGTGTTATAAGATGTATTTGGTCTACATACATTCAAAGGTGAAGTCAAGTTGTGAAACTACAATGTTTTTGGTAATGTAATATGTATATCCTTGTACATATTTCATTATAACATAAAATATATAAGGTTTTAGCAAATGATCATTAAAAGAAAGTTGTAGTCACTCTGAAACAGTCATGTGATATAAGTTTGTCAAAATTTGAGTTCGTATGAGGAGGTTATGGTCTTCTGAAGTTGAAACAAAATTGTTGTGAGAAGCGTAGCGTGTCTTCACCGACTTTGCAAAAAATAAAAGCCTTAACTCAGTTTTTTTCACCACATTTACACCCAAAACAGTTCCAATAAAACATAGAACGAATTTGGGGCGATTAAAGGGGATTTTGACCAAATATTGAAGCTAGATGCTAGGACAAAGCTATTAAGTATATTAAGGTATCCTTTTTTTCCTTTGTATTAAGCTAATTAAGCTTAATTAGTGAAAAGTTTGAAAGATTTGTTAGTACTCTAAATTAAATCTTGAGATTATCATATGATACATTTAGTAGTATGCGAAACACAATTATGATCTTAGTCAATGAGTTCTACAGTTAAATTCTTAAATTGGTTAACTAGGGTTATAAACCCTAATTAGTGAAATTGATAGGATTGTGAAATTAAGGAGTATATGTAGGCTTCCTTAATCATGGTCGATTAACAGAAAAGCTAACAAAAGGAACACAAAAATATATCACAAATGTTTTTCACTAAGAAAATGTTCTCACCAAGAGAACAAGCATAAAGCTCTTAAGGTTTAAAAATCAACTAATGATACGAACCCTAATACATGATTTTATAGTAAAGCAACGTTGTGAGAATCCCTACATTCATGGGATCTCACCTAATCTATGTAAATAAGAAAATATCTGATATCCATAAGATAATGAATCTGCTAATTAACTACACGTATAACCATAAATACAAGGTAATACAATAGCATGCTGACGATGCTTCGTAGAACAGATCTTTACATTGGCGTTGGTGTGACGATGGAGCTTATTGAAGTCAACATGTCTTCGTTTTGTCTCATCGGATTCTGAGGTTCGACCTTATAATCCCCCCCCCCCAATCTGATGATGTCAAAACACAAAATCTTATTCTTCTGGATGGCGATAGAACTCATCAACATCTTCTTCAGCTTCTAGCATGACCCATAAATAGCAATCTCTTCCTTCCTCTTGTTTAGCTCAAGAGAGATTAAGAAGTGATAGTTTAGTTTTAGCTCTAAGTGACACAAACATGCATTTCTTAGATGAACTAAGTGCTCATAGGGTGCCTTGACAAGATCCTTGGAGCGATTGAAGCACATGTGCTGATATTCATCCATGTAAAATATGCCATGCTCTGGTTGATGAGCAAACATGTGTTGAATAGGATCAACACCCACTAGAAAAAAGTTCTCGATGACTTTTGTGCCATAAGTTCGTATAAATATGACACCTTTAAAAATTCTCTTGCGAGGCACTGAAGCAGACACTGAGGACGAGGAAGGTTTATTTGAGGTCTTGGCACTAAGTCAAGATTTTTAACCTTTGTGATAAGTTTTTTCAAGAACAAGCCTCAGTTCCTCAACATATTTCCCTTTATGCTTGTTGTTCAACTCTAGAAGCTGCAGCCACTCGTTGTACCCAAATTTCACAAAATCCTGGGAAGATAAGACTTCAGTGTATTGATCAACAGCTTTACACTTGTCACCACGCCTTGTGATATACACTATAAGCATTCTTTTAGTTTTGGGCTTAGTGCATCTCATTATTATTATTAGGTCAGGGTCACTTATTCTAGTTAGCATGTCTCCAAATATGCTTCGTTCAAGTCTAGTTATTGCACTTTTTTCTTTGACATTTCAATGGTTAACTTGTTCAGGCACTCAATCTGATCAATCATAGTGCTAGTAGCAATCAACTTTTCTTGAATTTTCTTGGAGTCTTTTCTGGAAAACATTCAATTTTCAGACTGGATGTTGTGTTTCCTAGCAAACTCCCTAGATTCTTCAATGGAAACTCCACATACCTTTTCCATTTAAGATATAGCAAGATCCTAGCGATTCCTTTTGGAAGGGTCGGCATCATAAGCATGAACAATTTTGTCTTTATGTTTCTTGCTCAAAGGAACTTCATCTTCATCTAACTTAATGTCACTAGGCTCCCCTTGAGAAACCTTCTCCTCCCCCTGAGGTATTTGCTCCCCTCAACGTTAGCATGGAAATCTGGAAACATTGTTTGAACTGGCACTTCAACAATGAATGACAAGTCCGTGTAATAGGATTCATCATCCGACTGATCATGAATATCCTTGGTATTCATTTCAGCTTCAGCATCAGAATTGGCAATAGACTCAGTAAAATTCTCCCCCATTTTGGCATCATTAGGCTAAAAAGGTATAGTAAGAGAGAGTGCAAGATTCTGGTTCTATGGAGTTGGAGAAGGAGGACGAGAATTATTTGGAGGGGGTAGATTTTAATGGAGGAGGACCAAGAGGCAACGGATGAGGAATGATAGATGAAGGACCACTTGTCGGAGGAGCTCTGATAGCACCAGGAGGAGGTTTTTGATCATTTGCAAGAGGGTATTAATTCCCATCATCCTTAAATTCAGTGACAGCTTTTGTAACTATGTGTTTGATATCAGCGATATCGGTCTCTATTATGGTCAGTTGATAACTCATGTTTGAGGTTAGTTGAACAAGAGACTCCATCTTAGAGAGAATGTTCCCTTGAAAACATCTGAATTTAGTAATTAACTAACTTGGTTATGATTGCTCCCCGTGAACAACTAGTTGAGTTGAAGGAATTTTTTCGATAGAAGGATGTTTTTCAGTTTGAGCAAGTGGAGAGCGATCACGTTGTATTTGTTGTACTTGAGGAGTACGAAAAAGTGAAGTTCAAACTTAAGTAGGAGAGGGTGTACAAACAGGTGTTTAATGACATCGGTCATGCTGAGGAGTCTCGGAGATATGTTAAGTGTCACTATCATCATTTTGACAAGGAGGAGTTTCAGGAACATGTTCATCTTTTGTAGAAGGAGATAACCCAAACTGAATATGCTTATATAGACGACTAGATTCAGACTCATTGAATTGTTGTGGGTACACTTGAGCATGTTGACCTTTAACAGGTTTAATTGTTTGGTGAATGATATACGCAGGTTGGGAGTCGTCAAGCACTCTTCTCAGTTAGTTTTAAAATTCTTGGATTCCCTTGGAAAAAGCTGGGAACATCACGATGATGTTATTAAAAACAATGAGAAGATTAATCTCATGGATCTCAAC